ATTAAATTTTTTTTTTTTTTTTTTTTTTTACTTTGATTCACTCATTTCTCCACATATCCCAGACCTTTAAACATTGGAGGGTCTCAGGGCTCACTCTTTGAACTTATTCTCTTTTCTGTCTATACTTATTCCCTTGGAGATCTCAACAAATCACGTCTTAAAAACTATTGCACTGCTGTTGATTGCCAAATTCATAGGTCCCAGAATTATTTCCTTGACTCCAGTTGTCCGTTTGGCATCTCCATTTTGATGTCTAGTGAGCATAACAAATTTAATATACACAGAAACAAAACTCCTGATTTTCATCCCCAAAACTGCTCCTCCGCACATCCCGCTCATCTCAGGAAATGACAATGCTGTCAATCAAAATAGCTACTCAAGCCAAAGACCTTGATGTTGGCCTGGGCACCTCTCTTTCTCTCACATTCCATACACCATCTCTCAGGAAGCTCCAGAGGCTCTTCTTTCAGAATATACTCTGCATCTCGTCTTTTCTCATCTCCTCCACTGCTACCACTCTGAGCAAATCCACAGTCTGTTACTACAGTAACCTCCTGACCAGTGGTATCCTTGCCTCTCCCTTGTAGTCTCTTTCCCAAAAGTAGTTAGTGATCATCTCAAAATGGAAGCAATGCCACGTCAATCCCTTTGTTTGGTGTCCTCCAGTGGCTTGCCATCTAGTGGTGAGTGGCAGCTAAATTCCTTGTGGAGATTTACAAGTCCCTACATGATCTGGTGCCCTGTTACTCTTGGACCTCATCACTGGCTCTTCTCAGCTCTCTTCAGCTACTCTGTCCTCCTCCCTGTACCCAGGATGGACACGCTAGCCCATTGTCGCTTCAAGGCAACATCCCTGTGGCTCCCTCCCTCACCTCTTTTAGCTCTTTCCTCAGTAGCTTTTCACCAAGACGTTCTCTGTTCACTCTATTTTAGGTTGCACCTCTCTTTGAACAAATATCTAAGCACTCTGTATCCCTCTTCCCACTTGGTGAATGAAGGCTTCTTAGTACCTGGTCAGTGAAGACTTTTATTCATGAATTTATTTTTCATCCTCTGCCTGTTCTAAAATGTAATGTAGAAATTTTTTTTTTTCTGTTTGGTACTGTACCCCCAATGCTTAGGATTGTTCCTTGCATTTAACAGACTCTCAATAAACTTTTTGTGTAAATTAACCATTTATTTCAGGATATTGCCCATACAGCTTACATTTTCTTTTCAAGAAACTGAATATTACCAATGAATGACTGAGATTCTGGCCTCTTCTGCCTTTCTGAAGAGGATTTCTTAGTAGCATGGATGGTCAAATGTAAGGAGACATAAGTTATCCTATCTAGCCACTGTTTGCACAATATTTTAAGATTATCAACAAAACGGTGTAAGGACTTTACTTTTAGCCAAGTGACCATTTGGTTGGCTGGCCTGTTCAGTTCTTGGTGCCCCTGCTCCTTTTATCAGCATGCCTGTGGGAGTTCTCCTACACAGTTGGCCCTCCTTTCATCTGCCTACAATTTCAGCTGAAACATCTTTATTCAAGGTTGATTTAACAGAACTCAGAGTATACTTGTCAGTCTTTTGTGGCTTCATCATATGCTTCATTCCATGCCACCCTTCGCTTCCAATTTGACAAATATAATAAATCACTCTCTGGGGTGAGGGGCCATCATCCCCTGTCTACCTTCCCTGAACCCAACACATCTAGTACCACATTCTTCATGATACTTCCATTACCCCTATTACCCACCATAGCATGCGCTGCTCCTTCCTTCCCCTGACTCCTAATACCCTGCCTAGCTCTGCTCTACAGTCTGCATGTTGGTATGTGAGTACCTTTGAGTGAGTCTTTCTTCTCTGCTTGTTACGGTAGACTAGCTATAGTGGAATCCACAGTACTGAGTAAGTTTGTTTGTTTATATCTTAATAAAGTGATATATCTGAAGTTACCCTCTGCCTATCACTGCTCTCAAATATTTGCAGTCATAGAAATTATTAGTATAATTTTTACTTTATCTTCTGAAATATGTGCAAGCCCTTTGAAGACAGAGACCACGGTGAGCATTCACATGTCACCTGTGGAGTCTAACAGTACCAGACCTTGCATGTTGTTGGTACTCAATAAATAGTAATGTAAGAAGTGGATTATAATTTATCATAACATTATTGCTACACTCATTTTATAGAGCAGATGATAAATATTATGGATTCACTGGGACTGAACAAAAATTTCACAATAATTCTCATTTTCCTGAAAATGTGAGCTTCTTTGGGTCTCTGTATAGCTAACCTAAGGCTGCTTAAAAGCCCCCTAATCACTGTGACTAAGGGCTATTCATGGACCATCAAGTAGTAGGAGTCAGGGTCATAGTAATGTTTTGAATAACTTGGGTATTGATCGTGCCTTTCTTCTGAAAATGGGAAAGAATGTGATACCATCTGTACAGTCTGCCCATTCAAACTCTGTAGATTGCTTTCACCCACAATAATACCTTCCGGCACAGCTTGATCTCCATGTGCCTGTACCAGCAGCACTTCATTAATCATGGAGCAGAGGCTGGGAATGGCCCTCAAACCTGTGCCAGAAGCTCCCCATGGGGCCAGAGTTGTCACCTCACAAAGAGAACATTAAGGGAGGGAGGGATATTGGCACCTGGATATTTCTTAACTCAGAATACACAGTCTTGATTCAGCCTTGAAATTAAAAGCTTGGTGAAACAAAACTTATACCCTGAGCGTTCACTCTGTCAGTCACTTGCTCGTTCAGTGTTAACAGTATGTGGTAGTTAAATTAAATGATAATTTAGCCATTTTACAAGTGAAAAAACTGAGTCTCAAAAAGGAAATTCACCCATTCAAGGATAATCAGCAAATGGTGGAGCTTTGTGTATGCCCGAGTCCCTTAGACAATGTGTGAGGTTCCCATTATCCTACTCTCTCACTTCTGAGCAGAACAGAGAAGTCCTACAGTAGTGATAATCTCAAAAAAAAATACTTTTAATCTTTCAAAGTAACCAGCCCCTGCATGTTTGAAATTCCCTTCCAGTTTCAAACTCCAGCCACGTGCCATGCAAATATGAAGGGAGTATTTTGAGCCTTTGGTTTCCACGGTGCTTTGTTGGTGATGGTCCTGCTGCCTGCTAGTGTCCATGGTTAGAAGTAGAAATAGAAAGAGAAAGTTGAGATTGAGAGTTTTAATTTTTTTCATTGGTTTCTTCTTTTAAGAATATACTAATTTTTCCCTAATTCTTAAGGAGACTTTACCCAAGAAAATTATTTATTCTCATTCTCTTCCTATGAAGTGAGGAAGTATGCTTTTGTTTTGTTTTTGTGTTATGTTTTCCTCTTTTGTTTGTTGTTATGGTTTGAGCCCCTCTAATCTTTGCTTCTGCCATTCCTTTGTTGAACTTTCTCAGTTGCTTCAACTGAGTAATACATTCTTGTAGAAATTGTAATAGTCTTTTAAGCAGGACAAAAAAAAATTAGTTGGATATTAATAGAATGATGAGATTTGCTCAAAGGTATGAACTCTCTAGGAGAGTATTGCTGTGAAGTTAAATGAAATTGTTTAAAAACAATCTAGATGAAGTCAACTCATATCTAAAACTCTGACAGATCCTTTGATTTGGGTGATCAATGGAGATGTTAACAATGGAACGTGTTAAATGGGATTGGGGAGGTGGATTGTGCCATGAAAGGCGGCTTCCCAGGTAGGTTGAAGATGGAATAGGAAGAGGTCAGTTTTCCAGAGTAACAGGATGATACTTTATCCTGAAGACAATAGCTGTTAGAATTTTAAACACAGAAAAAATGTTGTCAGACCTGTTTCTCATATGATAAGGACATCTGGCATGATGGATTGGAGTGGAGAAAGGAAAAAATGGTGTTGATTGTACCAGATCTTCTGACCAGGAAGGAGAATTTTATCAGTTTTATCTTAATTTAGTTTTCACTCACATTGGTAAATTTCAATCCTATCCCTCAGATGGAGGGATTTTATTCCTGGAAGTTTTCCTTGCTAGAGGCAGGATATTCCAGCTGTATTTAGTGTGGAATATTAAATGTAATGATTTGTAACCCACTACTTGGAAGGTTGCTCTGTGATATTCTACAAAATTAAGAAATAAAATTGCATCCATTGTATTTTATGAGCCAGGGGTTGTGATATGATGGTCTGTGGGCCACCAGTTTTATAAATAAAATTTTATTGGAACTTAGCCACACCCATTTGTTTATGTATTGTCTGTGGCTACTGCAGAGAAGTAGTTGTTACATCAGAGACCACATGACCCGCAAAGCCTAAAATACTCACTATCTAGTCCCTTACAGAAAATATATACCAACTCGTGTCTTAGACAATGTTGTTTTTGTCAGTGTATTTTTCCTTTGTTTGTTTTTAAAGTTTTGAACCATTGAGGAGATAAATATTTAATGGTATTGAGGTTGCTGCATTACATTTTACTGATCAGAGCTCTTAAGAGGAGCTGAAATGGAAATCTGGAGAAAAGAGTTGAATAGAAGTCCTCTCAAATAGCCAAAGTTACAGAGTACTGCACATATACACACAGACATGTACACACACACATAGTAAAAAACAGAAAAGCAAGAAGAAACAAAAATGGAACAATTTGTTTTGCTCACTGTGTTACATAATGCTTTATCTTTTTTGTTGAAAGAAAGCCAAACTTGTCTTTTAGAGTATTTAATCTCATAATGAAGTTTCTAGGCATTCTTTTCCTGGACACTGAGGCACCACTCTTTGTTGAAAGTGTGTAAATGATCTTGTCAGTATAAGTGATGCATCTCAAAAGATGCACAAGAAGTTTTCCAACTGTGTCCTGAGTTACCCTCCTGTTGGTGGAGAAGGTAGAGCTATGGAAAATCAGAGATATTTAGATGGTTCATCGGAGATTGAACAAAGAGAAAAATGATTTCTATTATAGAAATTTGCTAAAATTATTTTCCATGGGTTTAGTGCTTACTGTGTCTCACACACACAGCTAGCAATTTATGTATCTCTGTTAAACTGCCAGAAGTTTGCAGCATGTAACCATACTTCATCCAGTGCCTCTACATCCTGTGTCCTCATCTATTAATGGGGGGTAATTTCATAGGTGAGTAAACCTATCTCACTTTCCAATTTCATACAGGTGGTAAGTGGCAGAGTAAGGATTCCAACCAAGTCTATATTCTACAAAGCCAGTGCTTTTCAGGATATCACACTGACTCTAATAAAGGTCAATACCTTTTAAAGAAATCCCAAGCATCTACCTCCTGTCAACATTTATGATTTACAAAACAGAAACAGACTCACAGGCTTCAAAAACAAACTTATGGTT